ATTTAAAAAGGTGATGAGCGCTTGTGTTGGTATTTGGGGCTTAGCACCTCTATGTTAGAGATATATCTACGTGTTTTAAATTGCAAGTTAACTCTGTGTCGGTGTATAAAGCCCAGTTGAACTTCATCGGGATGTCCGGCATCTGTGCCGTCTAGTGTGTGTGTGTGGGGGGGGGGGGGGGGGGGGCTAAATATGTGTTCTATCCATCGAACACCTAAAAAATCAATTAGCTGATTCTATAAGGTGTTTTAGGTGTTTTGGCGACGGTCCCCAACAACATGAAAAAACGTTATCTACACCACACACGTAAGTTCAAGGTATACTCATCATTAAGTGATGGATTAGAACACTGGCAAGTTAGTTACGTGTTTCTTTCATTTTCAGGAACAAAAATGATTTTCGCATCTATGTTAACGTAATGTAATTAAATGAGAGAGAGTGATTCTTTACTATTCCTTCAGAATTCCATTTCAGTCCGAAGATTACAATTAAGCGCATTATAACAGGTTTCTAGCGTATTAACTCAATATGATTTCCATACTTTTTCAATCCGTGAAGATCCTGGATAGAATAGGTGTTCAGCAACCCATGCTTGCCGTAAAAGGCGACTATGCTTGGCGTAAGTGGCGACTAACGGGATCGGGTGGTCAGGCTCGCGGACTTGGTTGAAGCATGTCATCGATCCCAATTGCGTGGATCGATGCTCATCATATCTATCACTGGATTGTCTGGTCCAGACTCGATTATTCACAGACCGCCGTCATATACATGTAGCTGGAATATTGCTGAGTGCGGCGTAAAACAACAAACCAACCAACCATACTTTTTCACTGGCAAGAATGTTCTTGGGCCTGTGGTTTCATGCTTTGGTATCATGGCAATAATTTTGTTTTTAAATTATTTTCTCACACCGTCCCTTCTCGAGTTTTTGAAAGTTCCATGTACGTCCCGGAACTGTTAGGATATTGGTAATAATATATGCAAATGTGCGTTTATGATCAGGGATAACGTTCCCATCCACGCTCTAAATAGCTTTCAGAAAATTACAGGTTTTTACGAACCCTACTGGCCCAAAATGATGTCGGACATTGAGATCAGAACCAGACCTCAAAGCCGAGTAAAACACATTTATCATAGGGACATGATTTGGCAGGAAAACGTATTGTATTCCTGTCGATCAAAGACCTGGCCTCTGACATTTTCATGCGCAGATGACGAATTATTGAACATCCTTCCTATCACGTGTACGCCAGTAAGGTTTGACAGATGACAGTTGAGTGCACTATGACATGAATAAGCGTCCATCGCAGTGTCAGCAGTGACGGGTCCCCAGTGCTCAATACCGTCACCGGATAATTAGCGTCGTTGTAGCCTGTCATGTAGTCTGTCTCACAGCCCCTGAACCATATTATTTTATTTTCCGCCAAGCCCGAAATTAAGCAAGTCTTGATTTTCCAGATCTCCCATCTGCCTTGGAGTTATTTTCAATTTAAATGTAGTTGTTTGTTTTTATCAATATTAGGATCCAACTGTCGAAATACTTTAAGTAAATATGATGTTTCTACTGTGGAAATACTTTAAGTTAATATGATGTTTCTACTGTGGAAATCGTAAAGTTAATATGATGTTTCTACTGTGGCAATACTTTAAGTTAATATAATGTTTCTACTGTGGAAATACTTTAAGTTAATATAATGTTTCTACTGTGGAAATACTTTAAGTTTATATGATGTTTCTACTGTGGAAATACTTTACGTTAATATGATGTTTCTACTGTGGAAATACTTTAAGTTATTATGATGTTTCTACTGTGGAAATACTTTAAGTTAATATGATGTTTCTACTGTGGAAATACTTTAAGTTAATATGATGTTTCTACTGTGGAAATACTTTAAGTAAATATGATGTTTCTACTGTGGAAATACTTTAAGTTAATATGTTTTTCTACTGTGGAAATACTTTAAGTTAATATGACGTTTCTACTGTGGAAATGCTTTAAGTTAATATGTTTCTACTGTGGCAATACTTTAAGTTAATATGATTTTTCTACTGTGGCAATACTTTAAGTTAATATGATGTTTCTACTGTGGAAATACTTCACGTTAGTATGATGTTTCTACTTTGGAAATACTTTAAGTAAATATGATGTTTCTACTGTGGAAATACTTTAAGTAAATATGATGTTTCTACTGTGGAAATACTTTAAGTTAATATGATGTTTCTACTGTGGAAATACTTTAAGTTTATATGATGTTTCTACTGTGAAAATACTTTAAGTAAATATGATGTTTCTACTGTGGAAATACTTTAAGTTAATATGATGTTTCTACTGTGGAAATACTTGAAGTTAATATGATGTTCAGGAATCACCCATCTCACTGGGGTCCCTTTTCGGTTTAAGTAGAGTTGTTTGTTTCTAATAAAATTGTATATTTTAAGAGACTAAACGTAAGTCTAGCCGGCATGAAGTTTCTACTAGGAAAATACGTCCAGTTATTATGATTCTATTGGAAAAATACTTGGCGGTAATATAGTGTTGCTACTGGAAATCGCTTTTATTAAAGAAATACTTCAAGTTAATATGTTTCTTCTGAGGAAGAACAAGTTAATCTTGTGAAGATACTTCGAGTCAATGTTATGTTCTAATGAGAAAATACTTAAAAACAACAATATTATTTTTCTGTGAAAATCAATAATATTAATAGTCCAGTGGCAAACCCATTCAAATGAGTGTACTGATATACTCGGTTACGTTTCAGTCATTGCTATGATTATATTACACAGGTGAAAATACTTCAAGTCAGTATAATAATTCCACAAATACTTCACATTGATAGTACGATTCTGAAAATACTTCAAGTCAATATAATAATTCCACAAATACTTCACATTAATAGTACGATTCTGCTGTAAACCTACTACAACTCAATAGTATTGTAATACTCAAGTTACATATTTCAAGCTAATGCTGTTACTCTAAACAAGGAATACATAAAATAAATACTGTAGTTCACTGAGAAATACTAGATGATACTTGGTAATATGCCAAATCCTGAAAGTCAAGACAGGGAAGCTTGAATACTGCAAGGTAATGGCACAACTCTACAAGTCCTGAAATCCAGGAAGTACACATATGTCAGTTTCATGATCGATATTATTATACATATGATATCATGGATAGTGCTATCGATGCTAAAAACCCGGCCCGTAAACTGGGTGTCACGTTTCGATAAATATGCAAATGAGGACACTATGAACTAATTCTAAGCTCCATTCATCGGTTCAATGGCTGCTTTTTCAATAAACTATTGACGAACGCTCCCAATAAGATTAGAAAGAAGTTTCCCAATGTCAAAGTGCTAATGTAGACAAACATGGCTGCACATGATTTGGCACTATATTATAAATATTGCGGATCACTCAAACACTATTCATACGCGTTTCAAACACTTGAGAGAAATTACATCCAAAACACTGGATATTTAAGAATGACATTATATGATAAAGAGATTATTTCCCTCCTGTGTTTCCGTACATAAATGTCAATTAGTTGGAATAATTTATATTCCGCTGACATGATATGCGATATTTATTCTACGGAAACGCACTCAGGTAATAATCTCTATATACAATATAAATCAATATCATGAGTCTTAAGCAAAGATACTTAGTCTTATTCACTGGTATAGTCCTCAAGTACAAATATTTGAAATTCAAGCAGAAATAATTCAAGTCAATATATAGCTCCATGACCCGTGGGGACAAATACTTGAAGTGAAGGGCGTGTGACTTGTTGTGAGAACACAGCAACATATCGTATAGATTGGCAAAGTGTATCATCGTGTGTTCTTGTATTGCTCTGTGCGTATTTAATGAAGGGTGACCATATGGCTTCTTACATCGGCAGTGGTGCGCCCTCAATGATCATGGTTTATAGACACGAAGAACAACGTTGGACATTACCTGGGGTATCAATGAAACGCGGAATGGACAAACAGCGAACAAAGATCTGGGATTTATTATATAGGAATGAATTGATGCGGAAATATAATTTGATGTGTTCTGGCGTTTGGCTCTACTTCATATATAAGCATCTCTTTTCGCCTATAAATTATAGCTACTCTTTTGAACATCTATAAAGTACATAGCTTTCTAGATATTTCAGTAGGGCGGAGTGAATGGACGATGGTTTCTCATATGAGTTAGCTGATGCATGCTGTTCACCCAAGTCAACTGTAGACGTATATAGCTGTGTGGGCTTTCACAGTAATACGACTGTCAATAAAGACGGAATGAAATAATGTTGTAATTTTCGAATTGAAGATTGTTTTTGTTTCTTTAATACAGACGCGATGTTGGGAATGGACTAAGGTTAAACTTATATGGTTTTGGTTTGATTTGTTCATGTTTGACAAATGTTCACACAAAGTTAGCAGCAGCGTTTGATTAATAGTCTTTGAGTGGAGTGGTGGTCGTAGATGGAGTGGTGGTCGTAGCTTTCGGAGACTATGGCGCCTGATCGAACTATTGATTTCAATAGTTAATAGTCCAGTGGCAATACTTCGATGACAAGTTACAACACCACTGACATGCTATTGACACCAGAATAAAATACTTCCGACTTAACGCCATTGAAATTAAACAACTGATGTGTGACTATGAACTATAATCAGAGCGATAGTAATTGTATTAATCTAACCCCCACACGCATCTCCACCACCATCTCCACCCAACCGTATTCACCCCCTCTCATCCTCATTTCCACCCAAATCCCCAACCTCATCTGTATGCCCCCCCCCCCCCAAAAGGACCCGCAACCCCATCCCCACCTGACCCTCGTTTCTACCCAAATCACCAACCTCATTTGTACCAACCCACCACCCAGACCTCAACCATCCCCACCCCCATCCCTACCCCCACCCGGACCCAAACTCCACGCTACCCCTATCCCCATGCACAGAGGCAACACAATGGTTGCTATTAAGGACCTGTCCACCTACCTGAGTAGCAGTTAATGATCTCCCTCTCTCTGATCTTCAGTTCGTGTTTGGTGACGTCATGACGACGTCTCAGCTCCGAGTACCTTGTTTTGCCGTTGAGATTATTGACGGCAGATTCGTTCAGCAGAACTCTGCAAGTAGCCAGATCCTCGCTCACAATATTCTCACTTCTTATAACTCCGAGAAGTCTGTTTTCAAGCGACCCTGCCTTTGCTGTGGATTCATTCAGACTTTTTTCAGACTTACCAAGCCTGTAGGTTCTGTCCTTAAGTTGGTTCTTCAGAATCGATCTCTCACGAGTCAGAGAAGCGATCTTATTATCGGCGTGTAAGAGACGCTGGTTGACGTTAATAACTTCTAATTGGGCATCATTTAACGTCTTTCGTGTTTCATTCAATCTCAGCTCTGTTTGTAGCAAGGCATGCTCTTTTCTTTTTATCTCCTCCCTTAACTGTTCAAAATTCCGTGTCAGGCCGGACAGAACTCGGTCCCGAGAAGCGGATTTACCTGTTAAGTTCGGTACGGTTTTCCGCGTGTCATATGGCCGTTTGTCGGTGCCCAATAATTCCTGCACGGAATTCTCTAACTCTTTAATCCTCACCTCGTGTTTTTCTTTTACCTGTTCAAAGTTTTCCTTAATGGAGTCAACTTTTGTCACGACGTCATTTTGCGCTTGAGCGTCGACCCCAAGCAGCTCTTTCATGCTCCGGCCCAGCGGCTGCCCTACCATGCTCTTGCAACTGTACCCGTCAATGTTGGAGAGCTGTATGGTGTAAGAACACTCCCCACTCTTGAATGAACATCCATCAATCTGAATATCTTTCTGTGAACTGGACACTGCGCCAGACAGTGTCAGCAGAACCAATACACAATACTGACACCGCATGTTGAAACGTCAGCGTTACAACTGCGACATCAACAACAATATCAACGCTCACGAAACCTGTTTGTAGAGCTACATAGAACTCGGTACACCTACCGTGACGTTAAAAGATCCATGAAGTTTAAAAAGTGAACAACTTCAACGCAACCCATGCGTGACGACCTCAAATAAATCCCTCCGTTTTTCGTGTAAAGGTGATCTAATGTACTCCTAACTCCACGAACTTCTTCCAGTGCGGTAGTTCCGACTTTCTCTGTCAAAGATGGCCTGTCACTGTGAGGTTGTACGACACGGGGAACGTGTACCACAATGAAAGGCTTGCACAGCCCGTCAGTCAAGTCCCGATACAACATCGGCGCTGAACAGACAGACAGCCCAGCGCACATTCGCCACAATCAAAAGCATTTACACCTAGACTTGCTGCGGCTCTACGTGGCCTGAGCAAAACGTTACCTCTATAAGGTAAGGCGAGGTGAGGTGAAATTGGGTTTAACGCCGCGTCCACGATTATTGCACTTATATAGCGACGTCCATGCACGTGTGTGTATGGCTGCTTGTACTTGTCCGGACTGATGCCGATTTATAGTGCTAGCTAAGTGAGATACCATGCCACATTTTAACATGAATACCCCACTCAGACACAGTATACTGACTCCGAGCCGACCAGTCCTTGTTTTAGCCCCTAAATGCCGAGCGCCAGACAGGGTAACAACAAGTACCATATTTTAACGTCTTTTGGTATGACGCGGCCGGGGATCGACCCCCGGACCTTCCACTCTCCGGGCGGACGCTCTACCACTTGACCACGGAGGCGGTCACCTCTATAAAGTATTTTCCTCTGAGGATGAAACACTCAGCATTTATATACCTAGCTGAACCAAAGTTCGTTAATGCTGCAATTAGAATGTCACCTATAACACACACTTTACTATAAATTCCTTAACCCTTTTTAAAAAATCATGCTATTCTGTATCAACATATAACACCTTGACATTTTTGGTCTAACGCAGCATTCAACTATAAATAATCGTGTTTCGGCAGACAAACCAGTGAGCAACGTCCTATGCGTCGAAATACGAAAAACAAAGGTTGCTGGGGACCTATTTTGTTCCAGGACCCCCTGCTGATATAAAAACTTTTTCAAAGTCGAATTCAGAACAATTGATTTTGTCGTGAATAAAACGTTATTAACCACAGTCCAGAGATAAGGGGAAACTTTCTTCTTCGTAATAGTCGACAACGGATTACTCGTATCGATAATTTGTTATAGTGAGTATTTTGTTAAATGTCGTTATAACTATTAATTCTTTATAATTGATATTTCGATTTTACCATTATTTCATAACGTAGAAGAGGTTGTGATGTCACAGGCGTTTGAGATTGAAGATGATTAATTGGATTGTTTGTTGTTTTACGCCGCACTCAGCAATATTCCAGCTATATGACGGCTGTCTGTAAATAATAGAGTCTGGACCAGACAATCCAGCGATTGATATCATGAGCATCGATCCACGCAATTTGGATCGATGACATGCATCAACCAAGTCAGCGAGCCTGACCACCCGATCCCGTTAGTCGCCTCTTACGACAGGCAAAGTCGCCTTTTACGGCAATGATTAATGCTTAGATCAACACAATACAATGTGTATATGAAGGTATGGTCACCAGCTCCGTTAATATATATTAACATATTGGCGTATTGTGATCTCCCAACTTTTACTATTTGCTTATCGTAGCAGCAATTGTGAGTGAGTGAAAGTTGTATTACTTCACAGTCAGCTAAACAGCAGATATATCATGGCGACCTGTAAAGAAACCGATTCTGGACCAGACAAACCAGTGGTTGATATCATGAACATCGGGCCATCAAAACATCATATGGATGACCCACAATTAGACTGGATACACAGTGGAGCCACCGCCTCCAGCAATAGAAGTAGTAACTTTCATGACAGTCATGGTGGTTGTATTGTAGATGCTTTATGTGGTGTTGGTTGCTGTGTACGACAGTAACTATGGCTGCTGCTCCTGCTATGACAACAACACTGGTAGCAGCAACTACCTTGGGCGTGTAGGAATTATGCTGGTGATGTCATTAGGGAAGGATTTAACGTCGCTTTTAGCAATATTCCTGTAGTGAGAGACAGCAAGAATATGCACTTCACACATTTTACCATGTTGGGAATCGAACCCGGGTGTTTGCGTAACGAACGAACACGTTAACCTCTTGACTAACACACCCTCAGTGACGTTCTGATAAGAACTTTAAATGTAGACCTAACTATTATGCTTATAATCAGCATATGTGAAAGTATGTGTCATCTAAGGCGCGGCAGTTCGGTGTGCAGAGTTGCGTCCCTTAGGTACATCAGAAACATGTGATTGCGGGTTCGAATCCCGGTTCGCCTGGATTATGTTCTAGTGTGTCAGCACCATACCTTCGTGGGTGTGGGTTTCACAAAAGGACTAAACGTCTGAGACCTGCATCACTTCGGGCTACCCTCCCGCATCAAGCTGACACGCCGCGATATAACTGGAATACTATTCAAAGCGGCGTTAAACCCAACTCACTCACTCAGTACGTAAAAATGACTTCAGCACCTAATGATTGCCGTGACCCGTGAAGATCCGGGGTTAGAATAGGTCTTCAGCAACCCATGCTTGCCGTGACCCGTGAAGATCCGGGGTAGAATAGGTCTTCAGCAACCCATACTTGCCGTAAAAGGCGACTATGCTTGTCGTAAGAGGCGACTAACGAAATCGGGTGGTCAGACTCGCTGACTTGGTTGATGCATGTCATCAATCCCAATTGCGCAGATCGATGCTCATGATGTCAATCACTGAATTGTCTGGTCCAGACTCGATTATTTACAGACCGACGTTATATAGCTGGACTATTGCTGAGTGCGGCGTTAAACAACAAACAAATAACAAATATGTAAAATAATCTTGTTATCTATTATTTGTAGCTTGAACATAGGAACCCCAAATCAACAGCCACAGTGAACGCTTGTTCATGCCGACCCGTGTCGTGCTGAACTAACCGCATAAACCCGACTCGAGTATTTGTGGCATGTTCATAATGGATTTAATAAATATTTTATGTGATTTCATCTATCGCGTATTTCCACCCCAACGAACAGGAATGTGTAGGTGTGTTTCGGCTAACGAGGCACATACTCACTGTACGGGTATTAAACCGCCCACACATGAGGTCACAGTGACCGTTGTGATGAGCTGTGGCACGTGTTCATCTTAAAGAAGTACACGTGCATGCCATCGTATTGAAAGGTAATGCTATTGGCAATGCTATGCAATGTTAATAGATTTAATCTGTCTGTTTTCCTAACACATCCTGTGTTTAGATTTGTCTGATAATGTATATAGTAATATTACCATGACAACGGGAGCTTCTATAATATAAATGAACAATAAATCACCCGAATGGTTAGTAAAAAACACTTTAAAAAACACGCTTTGTTTGTGGTTTGATGTATTGTGAAGTAGATGTAGCCTGAAATAAAAAATAATTAAAATAAAATAATTAACCTCATATTTAAGAAAGGAATATTTGAATTCTTCCTCCACCAGCTAGTGTGCTAGTCCGGACTGATGCCGATTTATAGTGCTAGCTCACTGAGATACAATGCAGGAGTTTAACATGAATACCCCACTCAGACACAGTATACTGACTCCGAGCAGACCAGTCCTTGTTTTAGCCCCTTAATGCCGAGCGCCAGACAGGGTAACAACAAGTACAATCTTTTAACGTCTTTTGGTATGACGTAGTCGGGGATCGAACCCCGGACCTTCCACTCTCCGAGCGGATGCTCTACCACTAGACCACGGAGGTGGTCCCATGGTCATAAGACGCAGGGTCTTCCCTTCTATGCAGACATTACGGTGGCACTGTGGTAAGAGGCGTCACTCCGGTTACTTGTGTGGGTTTGAATACCAGAATCACTACGTCACTGATATTAGTACCGGGTGCAAAGGGTGTTACCGTATCACTCTTTATTTTGAGACCCGTGAAGACCAGGGTAGAATAGATCTTCAGCAAACCATGTTAGTCTTAAAAGGGCGAATATGTTGTTGTAAGAGAGAACTAACGGGATCGGGTGGTCAGGCTTGCTGACATGGTTGATGAATGCCATCGTATCCCAATTGCGTGGATCGCTGCTCATGATATCAATCACTGGATTGTCTGGTCCAGGCTCGATTACAGCCAAACACCGTTGTGTCGAAGTTGAAGGGACCTACGTAACTAATTCGAGTTATCCAATAATGATACATAGATAAGGAATACGCCGGGACCAAGCTTTTACTTCGAGACAACAATAAGTACGACACATCAAGGTTCGACACAACGGTGTGATTAAAGATCGCCGTCATAATATTATAGCTGTAATATTGCTCAGTGTGGCGCTAAACAACAAACAAACATACAAAATAAATTTTATTTTGATAAATTGGTGTCCAGTCCTCCATGCTTATCATAGGTACCGACTAACTACGAAGAATCGCAGCCGGGTTCCCTGGGTATGCTGCGCTGGCGTTTAGTTAGATATGGGCTGTACGGTTGTCGTACCTCCCATACTTTTACCATTGAATAATGATAGTCGTAGCGCTAATATTGCTTCTTGAACGGGGCCCAGCTGACTACAGCTTGCCAGTTTCGCTTCGTCGCATAAACTCTATCGATTCGCCTGGGAAGGAAACCTCGCGTTCACCACAACGTCCCTTCGAAAGGGCAACTACAATTGCTAGAAACGTTCGTATAATATTCTTAAAGTGTGTATCGACATGTGCGACGGTAGAGTACCCGTCCCATTAATTACTCTACGTTATCCGTGTAATTAGGGAGTAAATCGTCTTCTCTCAAGCGCCGTGATATTTTCAGAAGACATAAAGAAAGGTGTGTCTTTGTCGGTGCCTCGTAAAACGGGGCTGGGTAAGACCATCTGATCAGTGAGCGCAACCCATTTTTAGGAACATTTCAGAGTATATGCTCGCTCCATCAGGTGAAATGATGAAAGAATAAGGAATTTTACTTCGAACATATTTCGGTTGCTATGAAACTGACGTTCAGAGGTTGTGGAAATGTCACTATAGTGGGTTTTTTAACTTAATTATATGTTCAGGTATTATGCTGTGAAGCCCATTTCTGGTGTCTAACGCTGATATAGCTTGAATATTGTTAAAAGCGGCGTAAAACTCTACCTCCATACTCATCCAGGTATCCTGCCCAAGCGTTATAATAATATGCGTTTCGCCAGTCTGTGATCTCAGTTTAAACCTTTACATGTTTAACCATCCATCCAAACCCAACTGGTAAAATTAGAGTGCAAATATTCATAGAACAGAAAAACAGAGACAAAACGTGATGTATA